CCTATTTTTCTACTTGCATTTTTCACATGCTTTCGAACTGCTAGGTTGGCAGAAGCTGGGACAAGTAACAGGAACTCACTCCGTTACGTGGCGCTAGGGATTCGAACCGCCGACCTTTCTGTTCGACAAGCTTAGTGCCTTAGCCATTGAGCCACCTGGGATAATAGACACCTCCCTCCCCAAGTCACGGTTTGCTAGGTGCTCTTGTGCCTTCCTTAGCATTTTGCTATTTCAGTGCTTTTATCAATGAGATCCTGCCACTCTTGTCCTACTTATAATAAATGACACATGCAAACAATAAATTGGTATGAAAATATAATTAATATTATGTTTATCCCAGATTTGTTTCTACCCAGACCCACCAGTGAGAACAAAGAGAAAGAAATTGTACCTCCACTGGTTCCCTTCTGTAAGAAGTTCTGAATTATCTGAGTTTTTACATTATAACTGGATTCGTCAGCCACCATTACACACAGCTTTCTGAATTCCCGCAGCAAACAGTCCTTGTGTTTCGGATCACTCTTCTCGGTGGACAAACTGGGCTTGTGAGAAGAGCCAGAGCTGGCTGTTTCTTCAGGAGTGCCTGACTTTGCTGAACAGACAAAGAGTTTGAGGGCAGACAGAAATGTCCAGATTTTATTCATTCAATGCAAGCATGGTTGAGCATTTCATGAGAGCATAACACAGGTGGTCCCTATGGTCATGCGATTTACATTCGGTTGCTTAACAATTGGTTCCTATTTCTGACGCTTGCAGTGTCCCATGCGATCCCCTTTTGCGACCTTTTGACCACCAAAATCAATGGGGAAGCCAGATTCACTTGACAACCGTGTTACTAATTTAAGAACTGCAGTGATTCATTTAACAAAAATGGAAATAAAAGCTGTAAATAGGGGCAAAACTCGCTTAATAAACTTCTCACAAACCCGCCATCTTGGGCCCCACATTTGAGAAGCCAGGCTGTACCTGTCACAAGCCAGGACAAAGGGCGAGTGACAGAGGAGTGACACCTTAAAAAACTTTGGTCCAGCTGGCCCAGCTGGTAGCACCTCGTAAGGGCCCCTTTCCAGGGTTACAGAGAAGATGGACAACAGTTTTGAAGGCAGAAGAGGGCTCTATCCCCCAACGACAGAACCATCTTCTAGGAGAAGGGAAACTCTGATTACAAACCTCCACTGCCTTGTGGCTCTATCCACTACTGCAAAAGGCTTCAGGAGCCAACCTCGAGGCCTAATCCGGAGCCGGAGTCCCGGAAGCAGTTCGTGACTGTGTACAACCACATTCTGGTAACTCCTACGATGCAGCTGGAACCAATAGTATCGGCTCTGCCATTCCATTGGACTATTTCAGTGATGTGGAGAGGGGGATCTGCTGCTTGAGTAACAGTCTATCCTCCATATTAATCTACCCAGGCCTTATGCTCTTGAAAGGACACTCCAGCCTTACCTCTTTCCAGAACATGATACCATAATCTCTTGAGACTGAAGGATGCCAATGCAAACTTCTCACTTAGCAATATAAAGTCTGGGCTCATTTGTACACNCCATCTCCTCCCACTTATGACTGCAGGACTGTAACTTTATTGCTTGTATCCTTACCATTTATATTGATATTGTTTCCTGATTCCTTATTTGTACCCTATGACTATCATTAAGTGATGATTCTTGACGAATGTCTCTTGTCTTTTTATGTACACTTGAGAGCCTTTGCATCAAAAGACAAATTCCTTGTGTGTCCAATCACACTTGGCCAATAAAGACTTCAATTCAATCTCTATTTCTATTTTATTCAGCTTGGCAATTCATTCATATCCTGGGGTCACATGACCCCCTTTTGCGACCTTCTGACAAGCAAAGCCAACGGGGAAGCCAGATTCACTTAACAACCGGGTTACTAACTTATCCACGGCAGTGATTCACTTAACAGCTTGGGCAAGAAAGGACGTAAAACGGGGCAAAGCTCACCTAACCAATGTGTCACTTAAGCAACAGAAATCGGGGGCTCAATTGTGGTCGCAAGTCGCGGAGGGCTACTTCTATTGGCAATATTATCACCGTATTAAGGGGGCTTCGCAGACCATCTTATAGCGCGCCCACCAATCATTTCTCTCCCTCCCCCCCATCCCCCCCTCCAGCACGTCTGTACTCCCCACTCCCGATCTGGGTTAGCCTCTCAACAGGCAAAAAAGGAAAGGGGAGACGAGGGAGAAAGGCAGCCGCCTTACCCGCAGAGAGAGCCAGCACGAACGGGAACAAAAGCCGCGGGGCTTCCCCAATTCCTCCCGAGCTCGGCTCCTCCCAGCGGCAGCTTTGATTCTCACGTGGCCTTGGCCTGCAAGGACAAGGAAGGGGCGGAGCAAGCGATGAAGAGGCGTGTCTGTCAGACGCCGCTCCTCCCTCCGAAGCGTGAGAGGGACGTAGCCACGCCCCATCATTTCTTTTTTAGCCTTTCCCCGCCCACCTTTTTCTTTGGACCATTCAGCGGAGATAGCGGCGGCGGCGGCCTCTTTCGATCTAGGCCACGCCTTCCGCGTGCGAATAAAAGGCAGGGAACGCTCGGAGGTATGACGTCAGCCCTCTGCTCGCGCGTCTGCTCAGTGATGTCGCGTTGTTGTCATCTATTCAGTAAACCGTGGTTAAATAGGCGTTAGGTTAATGCAGTGGTTCCCAAACTTGGCAACTTTAAGACTTGTGGACTTCAACTCCCAGAATTCTCCAGCTAGCTCTTCTGGATGGAGAACTCTGGGAGTTGANAAAAAACCTTAAAAAAAACCTTCTGAGCGCAGAAATACAGTACATTTCGCCTTTTGATTATACTTCTAAACACAGAATTGTAACATCTTAATTTTCATTCTCCAATCTCATCCTGAACTTTGGGACAAGAACAGCCTTTACTTTTCTCAGCTTCATAGTTTGTATGTTTGCAGGACACACTGAGCCTAGTTATCATGAACAGGCACCTTTTGTTTCATCCTGCCCAGTACAGTTTTTCAACCAGAGCCAGTGGCTTTCTTAATAATAAACATGCCTCTGAATTTCAATTATATATCATTTCTAGTTAGCATTAATTGAAATTTGAAACACCCGTGCTTCTTCAGAAATTAAAAACTGGTATTAGGTTGCTGAACCTAGCATACGTAGGCATAGATTATTATTATTATTTTGCTTCCACTGCTACCTTACTTAAGTCAAAATAAAATGTCAGCAATACGTTGCAAGAAAGTAAGATTTCTCACCAACCTGCAAAACCTGAAAATTTCCTCGGTGAAGGATTTGAAGAAACCAGAGGCATTTTCTTGGGTGATGTTATTTGTCCACTAGGAGAAATCTTTGCCTGGATAACAGCTTTTTTCTTTGGAGTGTTTGAAGTTTTGGAAGAAATGTCTGTGAACAGAGAAGGGATCATTCATCATTCGGTGTCCTGAACAATACAGACATTTCGAAAGTCCTAACAGTTACCCACTTCTTTTTTCAAGGCTAAAGATGCTCTTTTATCAGGCAGTTTTCAAACTTCTGATAATTCTCATGGTCCTTTTCCATATCTGTCCTATTGTGTAGTTTAACAAAATCAGCCTCAAAATGTCCAGAGTTTATTCTACATCTCCACTGAGATCATGCAATAGATACTCAGGAAACTTTGCTTTATTTGGATCTATCCAACCTTCAATATGTTTCATTTTAGGACATTAATAAAACCTACAATACTGCTAGTTGATTCAAATTTGTTACTTGGCAGCACGTGGTTATTGGCAAGTTCATATTTTTGGAATCATTTGGGATATTGTTATACTGATTGAATGTAAATATCCTCCTGATTTAATATTTGCTAAGTGGGTAAGAATAGTGATCACAATTGCACCCCCTCCCTGCTTTAATTTGTTGAAATATTTATAAGCTATCCTTTAGCAAAACTGTTTTAGGATAGTGTGTGTATATATATATTAATTACTGAATAAATTACTGAAAAGTTCTTGAGAGGGAGATATATCTTTTCAATAATTTATCCTAACACTAAGTATCATTTAACAATCTCATTTTATAATCTTGCTTTGACAGAGACACAATTAGGCTTGGTATAAACAAGGTTCTACTAGGCAGGAATGTTGTGAGAACAACACAACGTTCCAAACACTATCTTCCATGTACTACTACACTACTCTCTGTAGTAGGTTACTCTGTAACCTTCAACTGAACAAAACAGTGCATCCTACAGCGAAACTTTCCAGGCAACTTTGAAAATCTCCAAATTTTAAAGAATTTTTCTAGCACATTAGAAAAGGGGTCTCTAACCTTAGCAACTTTATGACTTGTGGACTTCAACTCCCAGAATTCCTCAGCCAGCATGTACTGGCTGAGGAATTCTGGGAGTTGAAGTCCATATACTGGGTAGGGTTGGGGCAAGGGTCTCCAACCTTAGCAACTTTATGACTTGTGGACTTCAACTCCCAGAATTCCTCAGCCAGCATGTACTGGCTGAGGAATTCTGGGAGTTGAAGTCCACAAATCGTAAAGTTGCCAAGGTTGGAGACCCTTCCATTAAAAGATCTGGCACTGCTGAATGCATATTTTTCAAACGATGATCCAATTGGTTGTCTAGAAATTTACACAAATGTCACCAATACTCCAATGGCAGTACCTTGTCAATCTTTGATCTCAAAAACAAATGCATAATAAAGAGGCCAAATCTATTTAGCATTTGCTTAGGAAACCAATAGAAAATTCCAGACTTTTCCTAGACTGGAAAGTAAAAAAAAAAATTACCACACATAAAAGCAATGCAAAGTCACTCCCATATTACTACTATGGGGGAAAAAAAGTAATACGAATTTCATTCAATCATCAGGAGGCGAGGTCAACTCAAGAGGGATTTTTATAATTGCAACCTCCGTGATGCGCATCTCACCTGAGATGTGCTGATTGATCATCTCCTTTTCAGCCTCCTGCAGTTCCTCCCAGCCTTCCAAGTCTGTGATATCTTCGATCTTCTTGGTCGTGGCCCGAGCCCTTTCCAGCTTCTCAAATATGCACTTGACGTGATACCACTCCTTCATGTCCCCACCGGATTCAGAGAAGGGATTGGGCACCACTTTCCCAATGCGCACCATCCCTTTGAGAATCTTCTCTTTGCACTTTTTGCAGCCAGCAGTGCCTCGCTTGGCGTAGTCCACGCAGTATCGCTGTTCTGCCATCTCGGAGGCAGTGCAGAAGGATGTCAGGCGGCAACCATGCAAAGCTGCTGGAAGGGGAAAGCTGGAGAGGCCAGATTGGTGGTACCGGAGGCCAGTCAAAGGCGAGGCGCCCTTATGGAGGAAGCTGAGAACGCCGGTCTGATGGTGAAGTGTCTTCTTCGGCAGCCAGGTCAATTTTTCACTTCTGCTAAGGCTCCTGGCTGCTTTCAGAAAAGCTGGGCGAGAAAGAAGCATGTAATTCCCTTTGCTGAATCTGATGCTATGAAAAAGAAATTATTATTATGCTTTGAGGCAAAGTCAGCCAAATGTTTAGACCACATTTGGCATTTTATCCGTTTATCAACTCCTTCTTGAGAACCTGGGATAGTGAGGTGTTGTTTGAATTATTATTAGGTGGAGACAATGGTTATTGCAACTCAACCACAGAGAGAAGAGCTGCACTCGTCAGTTGCAAGAGCACTAAACAGCCCCCAAAACCATGTCTTCAGGGGGAGGGGGACAGGTAAATAACCCAAATAGACCCCTTTGAACATTAGGGGATAAAAGTCCTTGGAGGGTAACCATCCAGCTTAGAGGAGGAGAGCCAGGGGCTGCCCCTAGATACAGGCCATCTGAGACTTACAACAGTTTGTTTCGTGTGTTCAAAGTTACCACAGTGCTGAAACATGTGACTTATGACATCTTTTCCCAATTACCACCTTTGCAGCATCCCCGTGGTCACATGTTCAAACTTCTCTACTATCAACAGTAGAGACCTTCAAGTTTCTAGATTCTATCATATCTCAAGACCTAATATGGACACCTAACATAAAAAATGTCATCAAAAAAGCACAACGAAGAATGTTCTTTCTGCGCCAACCCAGGAAGCTTAAACTGCCCAAAGAGCTGCTGATTCAGTTCTACAGAGGAATTATTGAGTCNCAACTCCCAGAATTCTCCAGCTAGCTCTTCTGGATGGAGAACTCTGGGAGTTGAAGTCTACAAGTCTTAAAGTTGCCAAGTTTGGGAACCACTGGGTTAATGTAATGCAGGGCTCCCCAAACCGGGCAACTTTAAGACTTGTGGACTTCAATTCCCAGAATTCTCCAGCCAGCATAGTTGGAGAATTCTGGGAGTTGAAATCCACAAGTCTTAAAGTTGCCAAGTTTGAAGACCTCTGATGTAATATGTAAAATTAGCAAGTTTATTCAGTTGGATTTCTTAGTATGTTTAGGAATGTAGCCTTTATTTACTTTGTGCTCTGCATTATTAATCATGCTGTTAATGGTGTTTTAACTTGTTTTGAATAAATACTAGGTTTTGTTTCCGCTGAGTTTCAGTCCATGCAAAGAACTATTCTTAAAACAATAATAAAGGGACTCATTTGCACGTATTGGAGAATACCTAATTTCTTTGCATGCATGAGCCACTTTTCGACAGCAAATGAAGGAAGATGTGGGGAAGTTTTTTTTTCTTCATCTGGGGGTCTGTATCTCACCAGGCACGTTATTAATGGAACAAATCTCTGGTAATAAAATTTTCCTCTCTCTCTCTCCAAGAAATAGCTTGGGAAAAAGAGAGTCTTTTCTGTCCCATGCATTTCTTTAAGAAATGTAAATATAATGAATATCTGTTAGCATTCAGGGATAACTAACTGAATATTTGCAGTCAAGACCATTACAGTATGAACAGTTTTCTTTTTAATGGGAACTTCTGCCACTTAATTACATTGCACAGTACTCTTAGCATTCTGTGTATGCTCAAGAGCATATCCTGTAACAAGCATAAGATCACGTGAAGTTTTAATACCACTTTATAATGCCTTTGTAAGACCACACTTGGAATACTGCATTTAGTTTTTTGGTCGCCATGATGTAAAAAAGATATGGAGACTCTAGAAAGAGTGCAGAGAAGAGCAAGAATGATGATTAGGGACTGGAGGCTAAAACATGCTGCTTATTGCCTCTGATAAGGCTTCTGTCTGCCTTGCAGGAAGAAAGCCTAAATTTCCTTGCCCATTGCAGGAGAATATGGATGGCATTGATGCGTTCTCTGTATAGTAATGGACGAATACTATGCAAAAGTTAGACAATTACAAAGATGATTAGGGGACTGGAGACTAAAACATATGAAGAACGGTTGCAGGAACTGGGTATGTCTAGTTTAAT